GTTTGGTCAATAGGACTAAATTGGTGAACATTGTAGAATAAAAACTTGGCAAATGTAGTTCTGTATATTTTTAGTTATTTAATAATTTTTAATTGTAAATCAAGTGAAAATTACCTCGAGATAGCGTTGTTGAAGAATAAAAAAAATTGAAGATAATTTTTTTTAAATATAAGAATTTAATTTTTTGTAGCTTGTCTGACTCAAATTCTTTGATTTTTTAACCGTGTTCGTGGTTTCTAGATTACCATGGATGTGATATGTGAAAAAACAAGAAAACCGATTTACTTTACTTTACAAGAATATATATAGTAAGTATTTTTAAAAATTGAGTGGGAATATCAAAATGTATGAAAGAGAGTCATAAATGTGGTGGGTGGTCGAGAGTGAAAAAGAAATGATTCTCCTTTGTATTCAAAAAATCAGTGGGGGTAAGAATGTGAAGTGTGGTATTTTTGAAATTGAGAAGGCATTTTTAAAACTTTTAGAAATTAAGAGGGGGCATTTTCAAAATTTTAATAAAAAGTATAGATAATAATGCAAATAGAAAAAAAATCCAATGGTGGCATCCGCCCCCACTGGTCCTTAACCAGGTCTGTGTCTGGTAGTGATGGTTTTGTCATTGAGATTCATGGAAGAATAGTGTCGAGAGGGAAAATCATACAATAAATAAAAGACATTTATTTATATTTTAGCTATGGTGGCTTCTTCACTCCCTTGAGAGGAATGTTTACGCTAACATATTAACAAGAAAAAATAAATAAAAATAAAAATACTTTTCATTGATTGAGAAAAGAATTACAAGAAAATAATAAAACTCTCTCTAACTCACTCTATTATTCTCCAACTCCTCTATGTATCCCTCTTCCCTTCCAAGAGTCTTACAGAGTCTAGAAGGGAAGAGTTAGGAGGGAAAAAAAAAACACAATTTGAAAATTTTGATTCGAATGATTTTTCCCACCAATCCAGTGCTAATCCAATTTCGAATTTGAAATTGACTTGCCGTATATTAAAAATAGAATAATTGTGGTGTAACCAAGTCTTAAACTTGAGAACACTTATAAATTTAGTTATGCACTAAATCATCTCTCCTACAATGCTGCTGGTGCTCTTCTTTAGTTATAAATAAAGTTTCATTCTTTCTGCAACCATAAATTCTCATATTTTTGCCATTTTGCTTCTTATCTTCTCATTCCAAAATTAGCCCGTATAAAATATGAAAAGTAAAGATAAAAGCATTTAACTAATAAAAATAATTAAATATATTTTTTTGAGTATAAAATAATAAGTTTTGTACACTTATCAAAATAAGAATAACAAGTTTTTATTTTTTTATACAACAAGTCATATAATGCATTTTGATTTCATATGAAACAAACATAGTAATGGTTTTTGTGGTGCGATGACTTTGCCTACAACAATAGTTATTAGGTCAATATTGAGATGGCACCATTTGAGGTGGTTATATAGCAAATCTTGTAAATTCTTAATGTAAGGAGTGAACGCTTGCCCATTTATTCAAAAACTTAAGTTGTTGATTAGTGCTGCTGCATACTCACCCATTTATACTCTTTTCACTTTTCATTTGGATTCGATGTGGGACAAATATTCCTTAGACGCTTTTTGGGCCGAGCACTTAGCGTGATATCGCCCATTAACCCAAAAACTTAAGTTGTTGGGTAGTGCTTCATAATCACTCATTTATATCCCTTTCACTTTCCATCCGAATCCGATGTGGAACAAATATCCCTTATAATACCTAATTTGTTGGACCAAGGTATGAGAGACAGCTGCCTTGGGACTTGACATAATCCATGAGACCACGAAGAAGATCAAGTTGATTCGACAACAGGGGAGTTGCACTTTGTCCCTCAATAGGAAACACAAATATTTCTACACACTCGTATCATATACAAACTATCATATACATGTAAGATACCAATAATTCTAGGATACTCGCGGATACATGTTTCATACTTTTTAAACGTATTCATAATTTTAAAATATATTTTTTAATTTTTAATACGTATTCGATACTTCTCAGATACTTCGACTGTGAATTTAATACTTCTCAGATACTTCATAACACATTTTAAATAAATATATTGTTGTGCGTAAAAAATGTATTTAGTATTATTATTTTGTTTGCCATATCCCGTCATACCCATATCGTATTTTTTTTTTTTTTAATTTTATTGTATCACCGTATTAGTATCATATCACATCTGCACCGGTAACCATATTTGTGCTTCCTAGATACCTCAGCAAAATTTCAACGCATTGGCAATTTACCAACGGTTACACAGTTGCATTTGGTCTAATATACAGGACGATAAAATTTTGGTTTCTTTTTGAAATGTCCAATAGATGCACTTTTACTTGGACTTTCTTGCCTAAAAAACTCCTCTTTGCTCCACACCATACTATTTACACGTGAGGACAGTACATAGTTTTTTACGGATCATCATTCAGAAAAGCAAGATTTATTTTTCCTTTCATATTTGTGATTGCAAGGAAGGTGATTCAATCACTACGAGGGGGACAGAGTGTTCACGAAGCATTCATATACAAGAATTGAGAAGTCAGCCCAGAGTCAGCAGCGACTGGACGAGGAGTCGCAGAAATTCGTCTTTAGTAACTAGTTCTTGACAGAGTAAAGTGGGTATGAGCCTAAGATAAGAGTACGGCTAGGCCTCCATGGTTTTTTCCACGTAAAAAAATTCTCGTCATCCCACAGTCTCATTGTTTGTCTTGTGTGCGTCAAGCCACTGAAAAGTCCTCCCAAACCTTCGATTCTTGTCACCTGATAACCAGAACAGCCAAGCCAAGCCAGGAAATTTAGAGCACGAACAACTTTTAGCAACCCGAAGGATTTGAACAATCGTACCTCCTGCAAAAAGACAATTGGGAGGAATCAAAACCCGAACTTTGAACCAATTGCTAAAGGGAAAATTGATTATCAATAAAACTTAAATATCAATAATTAAAATGAAAATCACAAGTTCTAAATTATTTGAACTAGAAACAAAAAGGGGGTCTCATGTTAGCTGGCAAAATTTCACCAATAGGCAGCATACTGCCCAGATGTTGAAAGTAAATCTCTGCCATAGCAATTTAAGGATAACAACAGAAACAAATTGAAAAGATATACTGTTTGGTGCAACCACTAGACGATTTTTTATGCTTGAAAAATTAAACCCTTCACACTCGGATGATTTTTCGAAAACATATTGCTTGCTGCAACTATTTAATACCGAACACAAATTCATAAAATTGAGTCATTGTACATCTCTCGCACTAGAAATCATAGATGCAAATCCTTTAACATTTTCTAATAAATTTTTTTATGTACAGCTCATCGATGAAATGATCATAGTTCTAATAAATTACCTGCTTGAGAAGAAAGATACATACATAGGCAAAGAAGACACAATGCTCCAATGCCAAGGGACATCAATTATATCACCATGAGCAACTGTTACAAACCTAATTTCCCACTCATTTTAAATATTCCAATCCAATGCAAACTCCACTAAAGTACAAGATAGAAAAGTTTTTCCGGTAAACATAAAGTGGTTCAGAAGAATTATACACTAATTTGTGAAAATTGGGTGAGTCACTTAATAGTGATTCAAATGGTGATTTGAGGTGAAGAAGTGCTAAATAAATGCTTATGCATCACAACTGCCATGTTGCCTGGTGGTTGGGTTGCTCCCTGTGTCTGAGAGTCCGTGTTCGAGACTTGCACCCTCCCCCTCCCTCTAACTACTAACCCCTAACATTCTTGCCCTGAAAAAAAAAAAAATGCTTATGCATCGGAAGTCTAAGCCTATGTATTTGTTTTCATGGACAAGCTCTAAAACTAGTCTACTAAATGAATTCCAATCACGAGCAAGAACGAGGTTAAAGAGAGGGAAACACTTTCATTGATATTTTCATTAAATGGAGCGTAGTAACAAATTTCAAATTTTTTTTTTTAAAAGAACATTAAACAACAAATGAATTCACATGCTGTAGAATACACTCACACAAACATACAAATACATACATAATTAATGTTAGGACCTCTAAATTTTTCAAAAAGAAAAACAAATTATTTTTCAGAAAAAAAGGAAGAAGAAAGAAATGAAAAAGAAGAAGAAGAAAAATGTTAGTCAAATTCAGGTCAAAAGAACTCAAATCCGTATGTTTGAAGCTCAATTAAGGCGAAAAATCTCTGCTGAACGCTCATCAGTAACTTAAAAAACATGTGAATGAGTGAATCTATGTACAACAGATATGCAAAATTTGTCAGTGTTGGATGGTATTATAAGTTAGATCCAGAAAATTACCAGCACAACAAAAAGACATCGCTCCATCATAAGCTCGAACCATTACAGACCAAACAGATACATCACAATGCCGGCATCAAACCAGCATATATATATGAAAAATAATCGGTGGGAAACCAATACACAAAGCATGATCAACAAATTGTTTCGTTGCAATCTGAACTCAAATTAATTCAGCCGTTTTTTTTTTTTTTTTAGTTACAGCAATGCATGAATCGAAAAGAATAATAGGACAGACCTAAATGGAAAATTTAGCGGTTGTGTGAACTTGTGAAGATGATGAGAGACTGTGAGAGAGTGTTCAAGAGTGTTCTGTGTCGTTTAGTTTGATGAGGAGATAATGATGAGAGAGGTCTGTTTGAATTTTTTTAAAAAACATAGATTATGTTTCACGAGGAGAGAGTAACATTTCGTGATGGTAAAAAAAGGCTTTACCAGCGGATCAGATTTGTTCTTCACTAATAGTTCGCCACAATAGCTCATTTTTGTTGTAGTGTTTACTTGCTTTCAGACTGCTATTTTCTCAGTATTTAAGTTGGGTATCACAGAGTATTAGTTCCAAAACAATTAGTTTTATGATGGACGAAAATGATGGGAAGTTACTAGCAGAGTTGTTTCTAGCACTTCCAAAAATCATTCAAGCAGTTTGAATGATACAATGATACAATGTTCTTAATTGTTGTTGCTATAGAACTTCACATGTTGATAATATGGAGACAGAGAGAGGAGTTTATGAGGTACCTGAACGATATTAAAGACCAAATCGGTCCCAAAAGGTTTGAGTAGGTGTTGAGATTTCTTATGAGCTCTCTCCAAACCATGATAAGAATGAGCCTTGTCATGACACAGGCAGGTAGGCATCTGTTGCCTCTTTTCTGCATGTCTTCCCATGTCCACCTTCTTCTGCCTCGTAAACGGAGAACTACTTGCCGGAAATTTCGAGCCATCCTCTATTTCAATCTCCCTATCTCCATTAATTTTTCCAGCAGGACTTGCATTTTCCATCAAATCATGCATACCTATAATTCAAAATTAAATACATGGAATAATAAACAAAAGGTAGGAATTTAAAAATAAAGACAACCATCATTTTCTAATAATCAAGAAATTTTTACTGATCGAGAAATTATGACATTTCATTTCTTCAAACTTGGTTAGGAGTAGAAACTAGAAGAATGTATTAGTGCAAATTCCCTTTGCTATGTGGTATTACCCATGGATGTGGTAAGTAAAACAAAGAAATTCAAGCAGTAAGCTCATGTGTTTTCTTGTGCAGTGAGATGATGAATTTTGTGAAGAGAGAGAGAGAGAGAGAGAAATAAGTTTAGTGCGTGTTATTAAAATTCCGTTTCAATTAAAACATGAATGCTCATGTGATGAGAAAAACATGATTGTAGTTAACTTCAGCTTTTTCACAATATCTCTTTAGAAGCACTGAAATCAAACTGTTCTAACATCCACAACACAGACTACCATGATCCTCATCTATCATAAAATATACGGGTAAACACCAAAACAAAGTTAGACCCAACTGCCTAAATACTCGATATAGTTCTGCAATGATAATTGATAATTGACATGCATGGATGTTTCATCAATTACCTGAAAAAGGAACAAAGAAAGAAATCACAGTTAGCAATCAATTAAGAAAAAAACCATCATACAAAGACAGTATAGATTAGCGGAAAGAAGATAATTACCATGCCATTAGGTTGCACGTTAAACACTAAATTCTGACATCCTGCAATTTTACCCTCAACACCAAACTTCTCTGACGTTCGAAATGTTTGGTAAATTTTGTAGTGACTTACATCCAGAAATGTCCAAGAATGTTAATTCTCCAAGTCCGCAAATCTCACTAAGTTTCTCACAGTTACGGAGTCGCAATTCCTTTAAAGTTGTTAGTCTCCACAGATCAGGTATCATCTCTAAGACTATGCATGATGACAAGTCCAGCATCTCCAAGGATTTCATATCCTCAAGACCCGCAATCTCATGTAGCTTCTGGCAGTGGGAGAGATTTAAGTCTTCCAGCATTTCCAAGTTTGATAGATCAGGCAACCTTTCCAAGGACATGCAAGATGACAAGTCCAGCATCTTCAAGGATTTTAAAGCCTTAAGACCGTCAATCTCATGTAGCTTCTGGCACTCAGCAAGCTTTAATTGTACAAGCATTTTCAAATTTGATAGATCAGGCAATCTTTCCAAGGATATGCACAATGACAAGTTCAGTGTCTTCAACGATTTCAAACCCTTAAGACCCTCAATCTCATGTACCCTCTCGCACTGGTAGAGGTCTAATCCTTTCAGCATTTCTGAGTTCGATAGAATAGGTAACCTCTCCAAGACACTGCAATATCGCAAGTCTAGCATCTTCAAGATTTCAAAACCCTTAAGACACTCAATCTCTTTTAGCTTCTGGCACTGGAAGAGCTTTAATTCTTCAAGCATTTCTGAGTTCGATAGATCAGGTAACCTCTCCAAGGCAGTGCAATATGACAAGTCCAGCGTCTTCAAGGATTTCAAGCCCTTAAGACACTCAATCTCATGTAGCTTCAGGCACTGGAAGAGCTTTAATTCTTTCAGCATTTCCGAGTTCGATAGATCAGGTAGCCTCTCCAAGGCTGTGCAATATGACAAATCCAACGTCCTCAGGGATTTCAAACCCTTAAGACCCTCAATCTCATGTAGTTTCTGGCAGTGGGCGATCTTTAAGTCTTCCAGCATTTTCAAGTTTGATAAATCAGGCAATCTTTCCAAGGATCTGCACGATGACAAGTCCAGCATCTTCAAGGATTTCAAAGAGTTAAGACCCTCAATCTCATGTAGCTTCTGGCACTTGGCGAGATTTAATTGTACAAGCATTTCCATGTTCGATAGATTGGGCAATCTTTCCAAGGATATGCACACTGACATGTTTAGTGTCTTCAACGATTTCAAACCCTTAAGACACTCAATCTCATGTAACTTCTCGCACTGGTAGAGGTCTAATACTTTAAGCATTTTTGAGTTCGATAAATCAGGCAACCGCTCCATGGCTGTGCAATATCGCAAGTCCAGCGTCTTCAAGATTTCAAAACCCGTAAGACACTCAATCTCTTGTAGCTTCTGGCACTTGTAGAGCTTTAATTCTTCCAGCATTTTCAAGCTCGATAGATCAGGTAAACTCTCCAAGGCTGTGCAATATGACAAGTCTAGCCTCTTCAAGGATTTTAGACCCTTAAGACCCTCAATATCATGTAGCTTCTGACACTGGAAGAGCTTTAAATCTTCCAGCATTTCCAAGTTCAAGAGATCAGGTAACCTCTCCAAGCCTATGCAATTTCGCAAGTCCAGCGTCTTCAAGGTTTTCAAACCCTTAAGACCCTCAATATCATGTAGCTTCTGGCACTTGTAGAACTTTAATTCTTCCAGAATTTCCATGTTCGATAGATCAGGTAACCTCTTTAAGCCTGTGCAACTTGACAAGTCCAGCATCTTCAAGGATCTTATTCCCTTAAGATCCCCAACCTCATCATTTAGCTTCTGGCAATCGGACAGATTTAATTCTTCCAGCATTTCCAAGTTCGATAGATCAAGTAATCTCTCTAAGGCTGTGCAAAATAAAAAGTTCAGCGTCTTCAGGTGTTTTAAACCCTTAAGACCCTCAATCTCATGTAGCTTGTGGCAATTGGACAGCATTAATTCTTCTAGCATTTTCGAGTTCGATAGATCAGGTATCCTCTCCAAGGCTATGCAATGTGTCAAGTTCAACGTCTTCAAGGATTTCAAACCCTTAAGACCCTCAATCTCATGTAGCTTCCGGCAATAGGACAGATTTAAAACTTTCATCATTTTCGAGTTCGATAGATCAGGTAACCTCTCCAAATTGAAACAACTCGACGCATCTAACTCTTCAAGTTCCAGTAACATTCTGGTGGCACTAGGTAACTTCACAATCGAAGAATTGCTAATCTGAAGAATTCTCAAGCGCTTCAGGTTGCCAATGGTATCAGGTAATTCTGTAAATTTTGCCCATGACAAGCGCAGCTCAATTAATGATTCTAATTTCCCAATGGACTCTGGAAGTTCTTCTAATTTGCAGCCCTTCAGTGACAAGCGTCGCAATTTCACTAGTGAACCAATTGAGCCTGGTAGTTCAGTGATATATGAACAATCTAATATAAGGCCGGACAGAGATTTTAGGTGACCAATTGAGGTAGAAATTTGAGTCAATGACCCACATTCAGCAGCACTAAGAGTTTCAAGCTTCTTCATAACACCTCTACCAATAGGGACTTCTTTTATAGAAGTACCATCAATGAGGAGCTCTGTTAAAGCTTCCAAGGAATAAAATTCCAAAGGCAGCCTGTTGAGTCGAGCACAATACCTCAAATTTAAGAAAGCTAGACTCTTGAGATACCCAATTGATGGGTCAATATGAACCAAACTATCACATTCTTCAAGAATTAACCTTTCTAAATTTGCATATGCAGAGAAGTCAGGAGTTCTAACCATACGATAGCAACCTGTGAGATTTAGAACTTTCAACTTTCTTGCAATCTGTGAAATAAGGAAAGAATAGAATTGCTTAGAATCAATTACAAAGAATTATGTGATGATAGACACGAGACAAAATCAGATAAATTGATGAAACCTTCATATGATTCCAACCTTCCCAGGCTTCTGTGACATTGCTCCATGATAAATCAAGAATGACCAAATTCTTTAGATGAAAATTGGTTGGTCTAAAAATTTCAGGGCAGCTGTTCCAGCGAAACCATCTTAAATTTGAAAGAAGACCCTTGAAATCTCCATCTAGCTCTGCCTTGCCAACTTGAAGGAACCTTAGATTAGATAGTTTTCCAAATTCTTCATTTGTTAAACGTGCTTGTGGCTCTGTTTCAAAGTCAACACAGATAGCTTCAACCTTTCTTGTTCCCTGCCAAAAGAGAACCTTTAGATAAGTGAAAAATATACAAGGGCTATAATTATGCTGGACACAAAAACTTTCTTCTAGAAAATTCCAGTTATTATTTGAGTAGTGGCGGCTCAGTATAAGGTGAAGCGCCAGGCAATATAAGAGACTATGTAACGACCCAAAATGATGCCACTTATAAAAAAAATTCGGCATGACCTCTTTTAAAAAGGGTCCTACTACAACTTGTTGAAATGCATAAAAAAAAAATGTAATAGTCTCACTTGGCCATAAACTAATCTATCATGTCCCATCACACAATACAAATAATATAAAACATTCCAAAGACAATAACATACATATAAAAAGAGTCCCGTTCCCCCAATTCCTTCAAAACATGGAATCACCGATTCACTACCTAGTCCCATAATCCTTTACAAGAATGTACTTTAATTACATCAAGTTACAATCTATAAAATATAGCAAAAATTTAAAAGTTCATAACTTACAACATTATACTAATTAAACTAGAGTTTCACAAAATAGTTAAGATTATATTTACAAAATATTAAAGTTCTAATACAAAAGATAGCAAAATAAGTAGATCTTCATATCCCGTCTAAACTTGTGGTGGATCGTCATTCGCCACCTCTTTTCTGTGACCTGAAAATGTTAAAAATAAGGGGTGAGCATAAAGCTCAGTAGGAGGTGCTTAAGACACATCTTTTGTGACCCCATGAATCCAAACAAGGAATAAGAATAAAGAAATTGGGATCATACCACTTCCAGGAAAAACATAACCAAAATATTAACATTAATAATCCAAGTCATGAATGAAATATGTCGTGCTATGGGATGCAGTGTCATGCAATGTCGCTTCCCATTTTCAAAACATTTTCCGTCATCATTTCCAAACCGTTACTGCAACCCGTCCCATAGCAGCTCCATGGCAGCACGAGAGAAGGATTGGCTAACTGTCCCTGACCACAAGGCAACTCCAGGGCGTCATTTAGGGCCCAGTTAACTCAACCACGCTAGGGCAGTCTTCCTAATTCCCTCTAAGTCACATTAACGACACAGACCCATAGGCAACTCCTAGGCGATCGGGTTTTCGCAAACCTTTCATCAAATCTTTTCCCTAAAAACCCTTTTTTTTTTTTTTTTTTTTTTTCAAACATCATTCCCCATTTCTTTTCCAATGAGTGCATGATTGTTTTCATACATTTCAATGCCATGCCAATAGAGAAATTTATTCCTTGCGAATCAAATATTTACACCATACATGCCTTATAGAAAATTCATAGAAATATATATCATGCTTCTAAGTTACAAAATTCAGCACTTAAAATACAATTGGCATGAAATTATCATCACTTAAACATAGTTCTTCATTACACACCAACATATAATCACATCTCATATATAACATATAGTAAATATTTCATGAAATATACACAAATTAAACATGTTATAGCACAAATTATGAGAGAATAATTCACTAAAATCCAAGAGATTGTAGATTAAACACCCCTACCTCAAAATGGATAAAAATCCCCAATTTGAACCCTAGATTTCGAAAATCCTAGGGTGCACCAAAGTTGAGATTGTTTACACACACTTGTAGATCTTGCCGTGCTCTTCGTTTTGCCGCAAACGGCACCTAAAAACTCCAAAGGGTTGAAGATTAATTGAAGTTTGAAGCTTTGTGTGAAAAAGAAAAGAAAAATGTAAAGAAAAAAGGGGAAAAGAAATGGTGCCGGGGTGAGAGAATGAGAAAGAGAAATGTGAGGCTAAGTGGCCTCTTGGCCACACAAATTATATTAGTGGTGGGTCCCACCACTAAAAACAACCTTTTGACTCTTTTTTTATTTTTATTTTTTATCACACACACAATTGCATACAAACTAAATTAAACCCACATAAAACACATTAAATAAAATAAATAAAATGCAAATGAACTCCACCAAAACTCCCGCACACGACAATTCCGGTAGCGGGTCCCACACCGGACTGTCCGGCCCGAAAAACGATAAAAAAAATGCCGAAATGGCAACCGTTGCATTTCTAAGAGTGTTGAACTCAAAAAAATGCCCCAACCAACTCTTTGACATACCCGACACACCCCACGGTGCACGGCACGCAAAACGTGAAAAGACGAAAATGCCCCCGAAAAATTCAGAAAATTCTAGAAAATGGAAAATGGTAAAAATTAGAAACATCACAATCTACCCTCCTTAAAGAGATTTCGCCCTCGAAATCTACCCTCCTTAAAAAAGGAGGCTCACAACCACACACCTTCCTAAGAAACCTCACAAGCCCAAGACCATGAACTCACCAACTTTATTGCTTTCGACACGGGACGTCACCAGGCAACCAGAACCTACTGCCACAAACACCCAATGCTTACTCCCCTATGAGGGTACTCATTTCTCATAACATCGCACCCTGCATACCACTGAATACTACACCTGGCTTAAACTCGACACGATACACTCTATACGCATCCACACCTAACTATGAAGCTCCCAAGAAAAATGGTCACTAGACCACCTAACACAACGACATCCAACCTCAACTCATCCTTCAAAGGACACACAAAGCCCCAATTCTATACATCTCCGTTAGACCAAACACTCGCTATCTAACACGTAGCTACACCATTACATATCAGTACAAGTAACCATCAACCGCATGATTCTGCAATCATTACACTTAACAACCTCAAGATGACTAAACAATGAATCTCCTAATACCTGCATAAACATTAGTCACCAAATCAGTAAAGCGCACTATCTTGTACTCAGGACAAAATCCTCAAAACAAGATCTTCAATAACTAAACAAATTGGACACTTGGTTCCACCTAACACACCTCATCACCTGAGACAGACACCTGAATCCATACTGTCACGCCGACACAACCCACAATACCGTACTCTCACTGTCCCTAACAACCAAAACAATCATGGACCTTTGACCCGACATCATGCTAAAGAAGGGTTGATTCAAGAGTAATGGTTGGCCAGGCCATTCTCATCCTTGATCCGATCTCAACACAGACGTCATTCTTGTTCTCAGGTCCAAACCTCAAACACAGTCTCACATAGTCCACAAAACAACCACGAGATCCATTCTCTAATCAATCTATCGCTCTACGTAACCTCAATGACTATACAGTCACATACCAATTTTAAAATTCGATCATACTTCAATCACACAACCTATAACAAACTAAAAGCAATACGACACCAAGTACCACTATCATCGCCCAACGTATAAGATCTCTGATCTCTTCATAGCACCCACACCATGTAAACAACTCCCTAAAATCAGTCAATTCAATTCTTACCTCGTTAAAACACACAATGCGACTATCTCATACCTGAGATCTCAAAACCAAAGTTAGTCATTCCTATTATTCCTCAATGGAATCACACATTCACTTTCTCTAATCACGAAATTCTAAGGCGACATTGACACCTATCCTCAAGACACTGCTCGAATCAAATGCCTATAAAAACATCCAAGTAGATGGTTCACATCACATCTTCTCATCATCCTCAAACTTACATTTCATGACGCATCCCCTAGCCATCACCGCTAGCACTAGACACCGGAAACATTCAATCTCTATTTAGCAACTCGTGCTTCACACACCACCGGTCAAGACCACTCTCAGAACAAGCACTACAAAAACCAAATACTCCACCTCCCTCCGTGGGAGTGAGCCAACCCATTCAACTAAACCTTTATCAGTGAACTCTAACCGCATAACAAACCACACATAGGTCCGTCCATCCGCGGACGCGCACAATTCTTAAATAGAGAACAAAACTTACGACAAACAACGTCCTTGTTAGGACTAGAACAAACGGAAAGGGTAACGAACCCCGCTCTCATAAGAGACTGATGACTTGCACCTGACACCTTGTCACACGCTACTCACCAATTGTCCAACCGTGGACACTCAATCTCACTTGAGATGACACAAACTCCTTACACACCAGGAGAAGAACCAACTGATACCCGCATAAAACTACGAACTGAATTCTAGGCGATCTCACCACTAACAGACCGTCATACACAATTAACACTGGAACCTTGCACATGAAATGCTAAAATGTTAATGCAAAAAGAACCAAACCCAACATACAATATGTGCACACCGAGTGCCAAGAATGACATACACAAATAAAATAAAAGAAAACAATACAGTATAGAACGAAACAAAATAAATGCTCCCACGTAAAGATATCAACATATATAACATAATAATGCTAGAAAATAACTAATACTACCCAGGATATCGCATCCTACTCGATCTAAGGAGAAGTCCTTCTTAACCTCCATCACGTGGAAATGATGACCTACTGTTAATCCATGCCACTATAGCTCCCTAAGGTAACCTCAACACCTACACAGTGCACAACATTATGATAATCGTCACCACAACCTATCGACTCCTCACAAGGAGTAGTGCACCGATATGGCAACACCATCCTTACAAAGTCCAAGCAAAATGACAAGCTACAATTGTTTCCACAATGCTAAACCACATCACAAACCCACCATGGACAACAACCAATCACTACTTCCTACCCGAATACTGGGGTCACCCCTAAACCGACTCACTCTTCTAATACAAGAACCTTACGTTCCAACACTCCCATCATTGTCCTCCCCAAAATAACTACACAAACTCCAATCCCCTGGAAACAACGAGCCTCTATTAACCAACCTTTTCCTCTAAAGTGACGCTGACTCAACATGAAAACACACATCACTCATGATACTCGACACTATAGACAACAAACCGCTACAAGAATAAGAGTTATACATTGCACTATACAGAAACAGTCCCTAAGAGGGAAACAGACACCACGCCCAAACAATCAACCACATAAACTGCACTCCTCAACGACTACAAAACAATGGTCTCTCATTGGTATCTAACTGGACACTCGAGTCATACATCCCAAACAACCATCTTGATGAATTGACAGATTCCTCTGTTCCAACATTATCGTCATTACCATCACTATCCCCGTTACCCGTTAGACCAAACACCGACCAAAAGAAAACATCAATATAATGCTAGAAATAAATGCAATTACATACCTTTGATTACAGGGGGTCCCTCTGGTGACTCAATAGAAGTAACAATCGGACTAACTATACTACCCTGAGTCTCCCATTCCTGTAACTCTCTAAGCGGAACGCCAAACTGTGATACTAGAGTCCCACCTCTCTTGGGATAATCCTTCTTCCTATGATCAGGTTGACCACATATAAAACAAACTCCAGAACTAGGCCAACTCCAAGGGCACTCTGCTTTCCAATGACCTGACTACTTGCACCTATAGCAAGCCCTCTCGACCTTAGGGAATGTCTCCAGCGGTGACGTAAAAACAACGGGAGAATGAGATGAATCACACTTTAGCATCTTTCGTACATGACTCTAGGACAACATCCCCACCTCCTTAACCTGATTACACGAGCCCCTATCTCCCGATCTGTCCTTAACCTCTGTTCTTTCCGACTGTACCATCAACCTCTGATTCTATATGACTACTACACGTACAAAGTTTGTCATGGCCTCAACCAAATTCTTAACCAAAAGGTCCCAATCAAAGAGCTCGTCCTGCTCCCCACCATCATCTGCTTCTCTATGTCTCTTTGGAGGCATGACTCTAAAAATGGAAAGAAAAGAGTTAAATACAACACAATCATGAGACCCTAACTCAAAACTTTGGACACACATAACTCGAAACTGAGACACAACACTTAAGAGCACACCAAACAACTCTCCCCATATAACCGTACCCATCCCAAGCACGCACACCCATCACAAAATCGTGTATAAAGCCACATACTAACCATTTCTAAGCATACATAACGTATGACACCATCATTATAACTTACGCCTATAATGGGTGATCAAGCCATAATCTCCTAACATGGAAGCACATAACAAAGAAATATGCTTTCACTTAACATATACACTTCATTTACATATACCGGTATCTAAACACATAAGCACTTAACAAATAGGCATGTTTTTCAATACATTAAACATTTAAATAGGTAACAAGTAAGCGCGTTTCTTAAACGGTTAAGCATTTTAACACATAAGCACGTAGTCACGTAAGCAAATAAGCAGATAAACATGTTTTTCGGGCAACTAAACACTTTAACATAGGAACACATAGACAATGCAAATAACTTCCCACATGACCCTAGCTAAGCCTCTATCCGTCGTCCTAATGGTTTTCGAACTATCGCTCTAATACTAAATTTGTAACGACCCAAAATGATACCAATCATAAAAAAATTCGGCATGACCTCTTCTAAAAAGGGTCCTACTACAACCTGTTAAAATGTATAAAAAAAAAAAATGTAATAACCTCACTTGGCCATAAACTAATCTATCTTGTCCCATCACACAATGCAAATAATATAAAACATTCCCAAGACAACAACATACATATAAAAAGAGTCCCGTTCCACCAAGTCCTTCAAAACATGGAATCACCGGTTCACTACCTAGTCGCATAATCTTTTACAAGGAACGTACTTTAATTATATCAAGTTACTGTCTATAAAATATAGCAAAAATTTAAAAGTTCATAACTTACAACATTATACTAATTAAACTAGAGTTTCACAAAGTAGTTAAGATTATATTTACAAAATATTAAAGTTCTAATACAAAAGATAGCAAAATAAGTAGATCTTCATATCCCGTCTAAACTTGTGGTGGATCGTCATTCGCCACTTCTTTTTCGTGACCTGAAAATGTTAAAAATAAGGGATGAGCATAAAGTTCAGTAGGAGGTGCCTAAGACACACTTCTTGTGACCCCTTGAATCCAAACAAGGAATAGGAATAAAGAAATTGGGATCATACCACTTCCAGGAAAAACATAAGCACAATAGCAACATTAATAATCCAAGTCATGAATGAAATATGTCGTGCTATGGGATGCAGTGTCATGCAATGTCGCTCCCCATTTTCAAAACATTTTCCCTCATCATTTTCCAAACCGTTAATGTAACCTGTCCCATGACAGCTCCATGGCAGTACGAGAAAAGGATTGGCTAACTGTCCCTGACCAGAAGGCAACTCCAGGGCGTCGTTTGGGGCCCAGTTAACTCAATCACGCTAGGGTAATCTCCCTAATTCCCTCTAGGTCACATTATCGACACGGACCCATAGGCAACTCCTAGGCGACCGGGTTTTCGCAAACCTTTCATCAAATCTTTTCCCCAAAAAACCTTTTTTTTTTTTTTCAAACATCATTACCCTTTTCTTTCCCAATGAGTGCATGAATGTTTTCATACATTTCAATGCCATGCCAATAGAGAAATTTATTCCTTGCGAATCAAATATTTACACCATACATGCCTTATAGAAAATTCATAAAAATATATATCATGCTTCTAAGTCACAAAATTCAGCACTTAAAATACAATTGGCATGAAATTATCATCACTTAAATATGGTTCTTCATTACATACCAACTAACATATAATCACATCTTATATACAACATATAATAAATATTTAATGAAATATACACAAATTAAACATGTTATAGCACAAATTATGAGAGAATAATTCACTAAAAGCCAAGAGATTGTAGATTAAACACCCCTACCTCAAAATGGATAAAAATCCCCAATTTGAATCCTAGGTTTCGAAAATCCTAGGGTGCACCAAAGCTGAGATTTCTTACACCCATTTGTAGATCTCGCCGTGCTCTCCGTTTTGCCGCAAACGGCATCCAAAAACTCCAAAGGGTTGAAGATTAATTGAAGTTTGAAGCTTTGTGTGAAAAAGAAAAGAAAAATGTAAAGAAAAAGGGGGAAAAGAAATGGTGGTGGGGGTGAGAGAATGAGAGAGAGAAATGTGAGGCTAAGTGGCCTCTTGGCCACACAAATTATATTAGTGGTGGGTCCCACCACTAAAAACCACCTTTTTGACTTTTTTTTTTTTAATTTTCTTTTTTTACCACACCCACAATTGCATACAAATTAAATTAAACCCACATAAAACACATTATATAAAATAAATGAAATGCAAATGAACTCCAACAAAACTCCTTTACATGACAATTCTGGTAGCGAGTCCCACACGGAACCGTCCGGCCCCAAAAACGAAAAAAAAAAATGCCGAAATAAAACCGTTGCATTTCTAAGAGTCCTGAACTCAAAGAAATGCCCTAACCAATTCTTTGACATACCTGGCACACCCCACGGTGCCCAACACGCAAAACGTGAAAAGACAAAAATGCTCCTGAAAAATTCAGAAAATTCCGGAAAATGGAAAATGGTAAAAATTAGAAACATCACAGAATATTCATGTTGTAACATATCTAATATAATATACACCTTTCAAAAAAAAACGTATAGCTAATATTGAAATATACAGTAACATATCTAATATTAATTTATAGTCTGTATTAAATATATATATATATATATATATATAAACAATTATTCTTGCTTCTTCAGATGCAAAATTGTTAGAAAACTTGGCTGTTTATTTACTAAATTTTCATTTAAATTCTTTTTGTAATATTTTGTTTATCATCACAAGAGCTCCATATTTTTTAAAAATGGAATTAATTTACCCAACCCTTTCTTTTTTCCTTTTCGAAATTTTTACTAATCCAAATTCACATTTTAAGTAAACATATTCATAGATAAACTATAGTAAGATAAGTAAATAAATAAATGAATTGAAGAACAATGGAACCGGCCTTATGCAAATTAGTAAAAAGCCTTACCTGATTTCAAGTGTTATTAAAACTGTTTGAATTTTTACAAATTCTTCATCTCTTTTATAACTCCAAGAAAATTTATTAATTTTAGAATGCAAGATTTTCTCACTTAGAATAGATAAAATTAAATATCTAATCTGCTCAATCACATCAAAAGAACATGAGAAGAAGTTTAGAAAAATATGGAAAGGCATGAGCTTGATAGATATAATAGGACCGTAAGGGTAGGAAAATAGAAAAACCTGTGAGAGGAGGAGAAGAAATTGCTAGAGATTTTTAACACTAAAACTGCTAAAATGGGCCTAAATAGGGAGAGAATGATACTAACCGATAAAGAAACCTATGGCGGGCCTACTTTAAAAGACTAATGAGATTTTTTGGTCGAGGGGTCTTAGGCAACAGCTAATTGGCCTAGTGATTGAGCTGGCACTGCTTTTGAGTAGTTCATACATAATTGTGTTAGTAAGGTGACAAGAAAATTAATGCTTAATAAGGGACATCTATTCGTGAAGGAGTTGGATCCTTACTGTATGACTCTCCAAGATGTCGGTGGCATCCTTATGCAACCACACCCTGCTAGGCTTCCCCGGCTTCTTAAAATTTTCTTCACGGACAATATTCCTACCGAGGTCTCTAAGCTGATCATGCATCATTAGCTCATTGTCATCTCCAATTTTTACCAATGACATGAGACGAAGAACTTCAATCCCATTTTCCGGATAAAATTTGCAATCATCCCACATGTGGAAAGCAATTCTTTTATCCACTCCAATGAAAAGGCATGCAATATCGAGGAATATCTGCTGTTGTTCATTATCTAATGCATCGTAACTTATTCTCAGCTTCTGCTGCACTTCGCCATCTGGTATTCTTTTCTACTTCTTTAATGTACCTTCCCATGCCTCTTTTCCCTTGCCAGATAGAGAAGAACCAATAATCTCAAGAGCCAAAGGCAACCCTCCAGTAGTGGACACAACATCTCTAGAGAGAGTAACATAGTCTTCTGGGGGATGGTCTCTTCTAAAAGCATGTCTACTGAAAAGTCGAAGAGATTTATTAGCATTTAATTCCTTTGGTTGGTAAGTCCACTCAGTCTCGGCCAGATTTAGAATATGTTTGTTTCTAGTCGTGACAATTACCCTACTTCCTGATCCAAACCAATCACCCTTTCCCATAAGTGCAAGTGCATGAAGATGATCTCTGTGATCGGCATCATCAACGGCAACAAGAACTTTCTTCCCAGAAAATCTTTCCTTGATTACATTAATTCCTTCATCCATAGTACTAATGTTGACAGCGAATCTGTGTTTTAAGATGTGAGATATAAGCTGGTTTTCCAAATGAACAAGACCATTGTGTTGTTGTGCAGTTTCTCTAACATCTGCAAGGAAGCAACACGATTCAAAATGTTGGGAGAGTTGGTTGTCGATGAACTTGGCAATAGTGGTCTTGCCAATTCCTCCCATGCCATGGATTCCCACAATCCTTACATCACTGGAATTAACACTCAACAATTTCATCATTTCTTCCACATGATAATCAATTCCGACTAAGCATTCATTTACAACCAATGTGTTCCTTTTCAGCTCTCCCCACACCTCTAAAACAACCCTGTTTACCAGTTCTCCTTCGTGCCTGCAAACATAATTGATCAACAATTTGTAAAATTCATATATGACCTATTTTCAGAAAACTTGACAATAGAATGTAGTTCCAAAATTCATTTGATCAACAATTTGTAAAAACTGTTGTTTGTAAATTAAGTTAGACTAGTTTCTAATTGGAGAGAACGGAACCAGACAATTGCAGAATAATGAGAAAAGTAAAAATTGCAGAATCAGAATATACAAGTAAATATATGCAAAATTACCCATCAGCGACATTCTTCACTTCCCATCCCTTCAATTCCCCAACCTCCCTCAAGGCTTCCTTCCACCCTTCCACAGTAGCGCTGTCAAAATGCTTCTCGTGTTCCCGGAAGGCCTTTTTGTAACATCCCTTCTGATTTCGCACGTCGGACGGTTCGACATCGTAGAAAATGGGTTTTATGATTTGCCCCGATGTCCTCTTACACTCAACCATCTCGGTGAGCTCAAGCAAGCACCACTTACTTGAAGCATAGTCTTTGGAAAAGACTGGGATTGATATCTTTGAGTGCTGTATAGCCTTGAGAAGCTCAGGACCTATCTTCTCTCCAATGCGAAGATCATTGTTGTCTCTAAACGTGCGGATTCCTGCGTCCACAAGGTCGCTGTAGAGGTAGTCGGTGAAGGTTTTTACGGGTGTCTTCACCTCTGAAATTCAAGAACACTTCATAGTCCCATCCTACAGGTGGGGAGGTGGACAATGAAGAATTGTTCAAAGGTGCTAATGAAGTCTTCCTGGTCTTCTTCTGAATAAACTGGAGAAAGGCCAGGAGAATTGCAGCAAGCGTGATGAGACAAGATAGCCATAAACAGGTCTTTGAATCCATTTCGAATGTGTGAGAGACTGAGTGATGAGTTCCTGTTAAATTGGGTAGAAATGAAAATGATGAGAAGCTAATTTCAGAGGGCATTGAAGAAAAGGGGTAGAAAGCATTAAGGTGTGCTAGTATCAAAGTCAATGATAGATGCTCAAATAATTAAATGTGAATAATTCATAATTTATAGTTAATATTTAGAATGTTGTGAGTTTTAAATTTGAAGTTCTATACCACTAAATATATAGGTTATTAAAGTACTTGATTTTCTTCTGATCCTACTTATTATTATAAGGCACGGGATTATATGGTCATTTTATTATTATATAATTCAAGATTATTTGGTCTCGGCCGTTACAGGTAAACAAAAATTTAAATTATATGATCAGTTTTATTATCATATAATTTAAGATTGTATGATCTCGACACGTAAACGACAGTTTGGATAAAATTGACAATCTCGAAACCATGTGATTTCAGATTATTAAAAAAAAAAATTCATGATCACCAGATATGGATGTCACTGGCCGATGTAGCTGCATTTAAAGGCGTGGAAAGAATGAGCTCCACTTATTTATCAATTATTGTTTTGAGGGTGGACTTGCTTTTTAAACCAATGGATAGATTCCACTTATTATAGTAAATTACCAATGTTCCCTGGTAAACTAGTTTAGACAAAATTGCCCTTGCCATCTGTTTTCTCTGACAAACAAGGGACTCGAATACAATCATGCAGAGTTCAGGAAGATATGCCCTCTACCATGCAATCCGCCCAGGGTCGAGCCTCACCCCTTATTTTTTGTTCGACTAACCATAGTGCTGTTATTATAGAGCCGGTTGCGGTATCTCAGTTTGGTGCCTTTGGGGGGGTCCGACGGATCCTGTCTAGGGAAGTTTTGGGTCATCAAATAAAAAAACACAAAGATAGGCCCTCTACTAACTACCGACTCTCTCTCTCTCTCTCACACACACACACACACACAAACACATATAGATGTAACAAATCAAAATCAATAAATTTTTATTTCCTAACTCCTGCCGTCTTAGCTTAATTCATCTCCTCAACCCTTGTCATCCTTTATATATATATCTGTAACAAATAAAAATTAAAAAATTCTGATCCCAGTCGATTCTTCATGTTCCTAAGTATTCAACTCTCATATTTTATCTGTAAGTTGCTGACTAAAATCAATTAGATCCTACCAACCCTCGAGAAAGGGTTCCGATGTACTCATCGAATCAGTTACTGGGCAGGTAAAGGACAGAAAGATAGATAAATATATATATATATATATATACACATATATAAACTACAGTTAGTAGTTGTTCCACAATGAAATATACATATATAAACTACAGTTAGTAGTTGTTCCACAATGAAATAAGATTTAGTGAGATTGATTACCTGGTTACTTGTCCAATTTGCCAAAGCCACCCATCGATGACCCCCATTTTGCAACACATTTTAGCTTCACATCAGTCATATATTTCAGGAAGAGAGATTGAGGGAGATAATGGTCTATTAATTGCCAGACTGACTATTAAGCGGTAAACTACAGTTAGTAGCTGTTCCACAATGAAATAAGATTTAGTGAGATTGATTACCTGGTTACTGGTCCAATTTGCCAAAGCCACCCATCGATGACCCCCATTTTGCAACACATTTTAGCTTCACATAAGTCAAATATTTCAGGAAGAGAGATTGAGGGAGATAATGGTCTATTAATTGCCAGACTGACTATTAAGCGGAAACAAATCATATATATATATATATATATATATATATTAGTCTATATAATATAATATCACTGTATATTCATAAATACTATTATTTGAACAATTTTTTGAATTTTTTTTATTAAATTAAATAAATCTTATTCATATTATAAATTTAAAAATATTAAATAAACACATATTGATAGCTACATCGACACTTGTTTTAATAATACAACCCTTCTTTGTCATATAATTCACAATCGTATTTTACAAATTCTACTAATTTTGAATATATATATATATATATATATATATATATATATATATATATTTTTTTTTTTTTTGGTACTAGTATGTCTTTACCATAACAAAAAATAAAATACCCAACCCATTTATTTTTCTGATATTCTAGCCAATTGGAATATGTAATATCATAATAAAGATAGAAATGAAACAAATCATGTACATAATTAATATGTATAATACAATATCATTATATAATTCACAAATATTATTAGATTAAATAAATTATATTAATATTACAAGTTAAAAATATTAATTCTATTATATATATATATATATATTTATGGGAAGAATGTTAGGGGTTAGTGGTTAAAGGAAAAGGGAGGAGGAGGGTGCAAGACTTGAACACGGGGAGTAACGCAACCACTCTGGCAACGCGGCACTTTCTTAAATTATTTATTTAATTTAATTGGTATGTTGGTTTGATTATTTAGTCAATGTTTTAATTGTTCATTTAGGCTCTGTTTGTTTCGACATAAAATATTCTTTTTGAAAAATATTTTTCTTTTTCAGGTAAAAAATTCTTTTATTTTTACTTTATCGGTGTTTGGTAAAGGTCAACGTCGAGGTTGAGGTCGATTCCATTAGGTAGGGGATGTAAAATAACTTGCCAAAAATTGATGGATAATTTATTTTTATTAAATTTTAATAATTTTTTTCTTCGTATATATTTTACGACAACCAAACACCAGAAAATAAAAAAAATGTATATTTTTTGAAAAATATTTGACATCCAAACAAACGGAGCCTTAATGTAATTGCTTGTTTTTTATTGCTATGTTTATTGATGTGTTTAAGTATTAAATTATTTATCAATGTTTCATTACTTTTATTTAGTTTAATTATATTGGGTTAGACTAAAGGACTAAGTAGTGGGCTAGATGTGTGCTCCTGGATTATTAAGGAGAAAGCCTAGATAAGCTAATTAGGCTTAAGGCCCATTGGTGAATATATATATATATATATATATATACACACACACACACACATATACATGTATGTTTATTTTATGTGTAATATAAAATATATATAATCATTATTATTTGTCCTCCTAACCATATTAGGATTTGGGGTTAGATATTTATATATATATGTGTGTGTGTGTATTAGCTAGGAAAAAGGGTTTTGTGTTTTCATGTGAGTTACAAAGAGAGAAAGAGATCTAGAGAGAAAAAGAGAGTGAAAGAAGAGGAAGAAGAAGGTGACGACTTTGTGCTTGAGCACAAGGCTATTCCGACGCACAGTGCTCGAGCACTGGGGACC